ATAGTGTCAAAAAAGGAGGGAAAGAGATAACTCTCTATAAAATAGGATCTAACCTAGTTAATGAATAGAAAATAGTAGTATGAATTCAGATCCCTCTCAGAGGGACAGATCTAATGACCTGCTGGCCATAGGCCAGAGGGCTCACATCAATTAAACATTGTGAGTTGAGGGGGTCAAGGGCCCACTGGGCAGCAGACTACCAGCACCTTAGCATAACATCTCAGATTGAATACAGTATATGTATAATAAAACATCAAAACACGCTGAGTGTCTTAACGACCCAGTGTCATGTGCTCGGAATTAAGCTTAGGTCCTTCTGCCTTTGGGCTGTGGCTCTGTTCGCTCTTCCACTTGAGAACTTGAGTCTTTCAGTGTACACTTTGCATAGTATATCTGCTCCTAGTACTCTCGAGTCCCACCTGTCTCACAGCTGCAATCAATCCACAATCAGATCAGTTTAAACTGCAGGACTTCCTTTGGACTGTGCCCATTTGTTGGATCTGTTTCCCTGGGTTTGCTATACTTCTGAACCACTAGACTTTGACCTTTGCCTGATTTCTGAATTAGGCAAAGGTAAAAGTCTAGAAGTTCTATACGATTCTGCCAGTCTGCGTATGACCCTGCCTGTCCCCAACCACACTTCCAGATTCTGACTTTGTACCTTGCCATCAAGCTTTGTTGCTGACCTGGCCTGCCTGACTACACTAACGCCTCAACCCCCAGCCAAAGCTCTACTTAGACTATACCTTATAACAGGTACCTTACATCCAGCAATCCCTGATTAAAGTTGGCACAATTATAGGTGCAGCTCTGCTGGTGGTATACTGAGGGAAGAAAAGAAAACCGGTTTCTTAGTGAGGTCTGTAATCCAGAGTTCACTGGCTGGAAACCTTTCTCATCTAGAGTCTTACACAAATCTTGCAGCTATTGCAAGGCATTGGAATATATCCCCAGTATCCTGGGCTTCTCCTAAAGTATATGTGAAAAAACTAGTAGTGGGTGTAGACCACAATTAAAATACACTGTGAAGGTTAGAAAAGTAGGCCCCGATGGGTAAGGCATTACTTGTGCTGGTCCACAACCCAACCAGGGATTATAACAGTAACACTTCCAGGGAAACAAGTGTCCCAATGGTATAACGTCTTATTCAGTCTGCGAATGGTGCATACAAGGCTTTAAAAAAGGCAAGGTGGACGTCTAGCAGTTTGCCTCCTGAATGAGCATAACTTCATGTGATCAGTCCCAGGAGTCAGAAGAGTGCCCGTTAGATGATGTCTAGAACCACTTGGCATAGTGCAGGTCAGCAGCCAGGCAATAGGTGTTAAGTTGGGATGGAGAAGAGCCTTTAGGAGTTCAGGAATGTCTACCAGGTACCTGACGATGTGGGTCTTGCCATCCCAAATCAGCAGGAGATAACATAATCTTACTGTAGGGGAGTGAGCAGGGCTTCAGGGGTTGTTACTGATTTATGCATGTATTAAAAGCCCAGGCAGCAGAGTTGTGGACGTCCCATCAAAATCTACTGGGCTGAGCTACCTAACCTTACCCATTATGTCCTCCTTGGTCCAGTAGAAATTAACCCAACAGAAATGTCCCATGGTCTGGTGGGGTTGAAGTCCAGGGTTCTGCGCACCCAGTCTATCTCGAGCTCTATTGGAATCAGATGTACTGAGACGCTTGATGAAGATGCCCTAACTTCATCTTTTACAAATAAAAATGAATAAATGCACATACTGTACAGTGTACTTGCAGGAAAAATTATGTAATGTAGTTTATGTAATTGAGCATTCCATTATTACTTAAATGGAAACTGTTATACCCAATAATGTGCTGGATGTTTGACACTTACAGAATTAATAGAACTAGAAAAGCTACAATTTCTGGGGAAATTGTGTGAAGTGTTCTTGTCTCCACCAGTAGTATACAACTCACACTCTAGCTTTTGTCACTCTGCTGGCTGCTCACACACCTGGGTTCCTATGGCAACTCACTCTACAGCAAGGGCAGAGAAGAGTGGTTAAAAACAAACTGCTCCAACTTACTCACTTCACTGGCAGTTGCCATCTTCAAACGGTTGTAGTTTAAAAATTATAAATCCTACAGAAGAACTTTATATTGTGAGAATCACAAGACCCAGACCTACATTTTGATGCATGGTATGTCTCTGAAATATTAAAAATGAAGGCACAGTCGCAGTTTAGAAATTGCCCTTCAAATTTGAGGTGGTTTGAGTGGAGTTTCAATGAATGTCAACGGGCAGCGTGAGTTGCAAACAAATGGTCATATTGTGAAGACTATCAGGACTATGGCTTAGCCGTGGACATTTGTAGTAGCAGCAGGGATAGCTGAACGTTTTGATATAAGATTTGTGTAGGTGGGCTTGAAAATGAAGGAGTGATGGCAGTTTAGAAATCATGTCCTGAATTTTCAGCTCACACTCTAGCTCAGGGGTCCTCAAAAACTGCGGCCCGCCGGCCATTTATCCGGCCCGCCAGCAGGGGCAGAACAGGAAGGGACACTAAGTACAGGGGTGGGCAGGGGGCTGCTGTACCTTGTGAAGGGAGAGAACAATGTTCTTGGACAACTTGCCAGCCAGCTTGCTAACAACCGAATTAACCTGTCTAACAGTATGCGTTTATAACAGGGGTTTAGTTAGCACACATTTTTTCGTAAGCCACAGAGCCACGACACGGCACCCTGATCATCTGTGGTCCTAACTCTAAAATTTTTGAGTCCCCATAGTAGAGGCACATGCATTTAATGGATAGATCAAGGGCAGGTGGACCCTGAGGGAGCCAAAGGAGTGCACTGGACCCCAGCATGTTTGGCAACCAGGGTCCTAGTGCACCCACGTACCAAAAAATCAAACATGCATAAAAGGCCACCCGCCCAAGTCTAGAACAGGCTTATGAAGGGACACATAAACAGGCATCACATAGTGAAAAAAGAGGGGAGAGAACAATGCAGGGGGCTGCTGTACCTTACCTGGCTCCGGTCCCAGTCCCACGACGATCCAGTCCAGGAAGCGCTGCTCCTTCATTCACTTTGGCCACTCCCTCACTCCTGCCGCTAGGCTCCGCCTCCTCACCGGTGATTGGGCGACAGAACTGTAGCTCAGGGAAGGCACACAGGCGGCCAATCACCTGCGAGGAGGCGGAGCTAAACGGCCCCCCCCGAACATCGAGTGAGGGAGAGGTCGATGTGAAGGACGACAGCTGACAGGTAAGTGTGCCGTGCTGATGGTGCTGCTGCAACCAGGTATTCTGGCTACAGCGGCACCATGCTGGAGCAGGGGTCAGCAAGTTACATGTCATTGGTGTCAGTGGGAGGAATAGTGCCCCATCATTGGTGTCAGTGGGAGGAATAGTGCCCCATCATTGGTGTCACTGATACTAATGATGGGGCCCTATTCCTCCCACTGACACCAATGATGGGGCACTATTTCGCTCCATAAGACACACTTGGGGCAAATGTCTGTGCGTCTTATGGAGCGGCGGCCGGCCCAGTATTCCCACCGCCATTGTATGTCCGCAGTCTCTGGTCATCTCCTGTACTGTGTCCGCATTTGTTCATAGTTTTTTTTTTTTATCTATTTTAAAAATCTAATTTTTTTTAGTCATACAGTACAGGACACAATCTTTAGTTTTTATCGTGGGACAATTACAAGCAATCAAACTGAGTGGTGGGCAACACTACAAACGATTCCAACAGGCTCACATAACAATGGGTCAAGAAGCAGTCAAGAAAACTCAGAGATCAGTCCATATCTACCATGAAAAGATGCCTGAACATCCACCTGCTTAATAGTGCATACTAAGACAGTGAATAGCAATTACCTTTGAATGTTGCAAAGCAAGACATGAGAAGGGAAAAACAATGTCTTGATTAAGGAGAAAAGAGGCTCTAGGCATTTGGACAGCTGTGTCTTTGGATAACTTTTAGGAAGAGTTCTTTACAGGATAAGGCTGCTAAAGCCTACTACACACAATCAGAAAATCATACGAAAGATACTTCTTTCAAAGCAATTGTACGAATCAGATCGTTCGTACACAGCTTTCTTCCGAAATTTTTTGAAGGGATAAGCACGAAAATTTTTCTTGTACGATACCAGATCGTACGATTTTCGTTTGATCAGCACTGACTGTGTTGATGAGGAAATTTCCTGGTTGCAGAAAGAACATTGCATCATCTATGGCCGACTTCAGGAATGAAAGGCCAACAGTTTCTGAAACAGGATGGCCAAGGCCAAGATTTGCCCTTTGAGAGTACTCATAGATCAGAGAACTGATCCCATAGCATCTCCAGAGCATCCACTGCATAGGTCCGAGGGTAACTGAACCTGGAAACATACCTGTCCAGTTTCTTGATGAATGAGCTTATTTCCTTGGTTCCAGATGCCAAGAAAGTCTGCCTGATATTTGTCCACTCCTGGGATGTAGATGGTGAACAGGACAAGATCATGCACTTTTGGCCAAGAGAGGATCAAATCTGCTTCTATTTGTATGGTGTTGCTTCTGGTGTCTGCTTGATGGTTAATGTAGGCCATGGTTGTGGAACTCCACAAAAAAAAAAAAAAATGAAAGAGTTAGGTCCACAGTATATAGAGGACCCTTGGTGCAGGATTGTGGCTTATGCATGTGTGCAAACAAACACCATCTGTTTTTTTACTGCAAACTGTTAGACAGGGCCAAATTGGCTGTTTTGCAGGCTGGCTGGTAAAGGAGCGGCCACAGGACGCTCCAAACAGTCCTTAGTGGGCAAAATGTTCCACCGCCTGGGTCAGGTAACTGGCTGGGTATCCCACTGCCGGAGTCAAGTGGCTGGCTGGGTTTCCTGCTGGTAGATTTATCTTTACGTAGGAGAACACAGGAAGGCAGGTTGCTGGACACAGGATCTCCAGGAGCAGGCTGGGAATCCGGTATCGGCCAGTTTAGCTGGACATCAGGGGCTGGCACATCAGGCTGGGCAGCGGGCACATCAGGCACGACAGTGGGTACAGAGTCACCTGGCACGACAGCGGGGCACCAAGTCACCAAGCTCGACAGCGGGCACCGAGTCATCTGGCACGACAGCGGGCACCGAGTCACCTGGCACAACAGCGGGCACGAGTCACCAAGCTCGACAGCGGGCACCGAGTCACCTGGCTCGACAGGCACCGAGTCATCTGGCACGACAGCGGGCACCGAGTTCATCTGGCAGAACATCGAGTCACCAAGCTCGACAGCGGGCACCGAGTCACCTGGCACGACAAGCAGGCACCGAGTCATCTGGCACGACAGCGGGCACCGAGTCATCTGGCACGACAGCGGGCACCGAGTGACCTGGCATGACAGCGGGCGGGCTCCAGGCTGGATCGGGTCATCAGGCTGGATCACGAACACCGGGTCATCAGGCTGGATTGGGTCATCAGGCTGGATCACATTGATTGCAGGAGTGAGATTCTGGCTGCTGAGATCAAACGCTGGCCAGCACTGGTACTGCAGCCCACAAGGCAGGTGAACCCCAGCACCACCTGTGGTGAGTCCATTCCTGACAGTAAGTGTTGCTGGGAAATCCTTTGTTTGTTTGTGATATGCAATGACTTTCCTTGTGCACCTTACTGCTATAGGTTGGGACGGTTGCCCTTTTTTTTTTTTTTTTTTTTTTTTTGTGGCGTTGACTAATTTGGATGCAGGGATGGGCTCCTCCAGGCACACCTGCCCTTAACCTATCCACTGATATATGTGTTCCCACTTTTAGAGTTTGATCCACAGTATACAGAGGACCCTTGATGCGGGACTGTGGCTTACTCATGTATTTGCAAATGTGTGCAAACAAAACCCTCTGAATCACCCCTAGCTCTAAGGTGTTGATAGGAAGATGGGCATCCTTTGATGACCAAGTACCCTGTACTGAAAGGACATCCAGAACTCCCAATAGGCTGGTATTCATAGTGAGAGCTCCACATCTTTGAAGGAAGGGGCTTTCTTGACTCCAGTACTGCACTGGCAATGCAATATGTCAGGGAGAGCCTGGTCTTGTGGGTCAGACACAGGGCTGTCCTATTACTGGATCTGTTTGTCTCACGCTTCCACAACATTGTACTTCAAGGAACCAGGGTGAAACTTGGTATATGGTACAGCTTCAAAGATGGCAACCATTAGACCCAAAAACCTCATGCAGGCACAAAGTGAAGGTTTCCTGAGGGCCAGAGTGCGAGAATAAAAGGGACATAAATTTACCCTGGGGCAGTAAGATCTTGGACAGGACAATATTTACTATCCGGTGTAAGTAGAATAAAGTGCAACAGCGCTAGGTGTCTGATAATTGATAAGAGAAATAAATAAATAAATAAATAAATTAAACAAGCAGCTAGCATAGGAAGTAAACCTCGAGAACTTCAGATAGTAAATTGACCATAAAAAAATATGCAGCGCTCATATGCCAGATAATATCATGATCACATAAATTAAACAAAAATTCATGATTAAAATAAAGCATTAAAATATTAAACTAGTGACTTCTGTGGTGCATCCAAGGTTGAGAAACCAGAAGAAAGTTCGTGACTCTTGTGGTAAAGAACTGAGAATAGCTTGCACTAACCAGATGTCTCAGCACATGGAGCATGGAGTAATTAAGACCTACTCCTGGTACTCTGAAAAGGAAGCCACTGAAGAGGATGATGTCATCTTATCTCTCGCCACTAGATGTCATGTTCCCAGGACAGCAGGACAGAGATCCCAGAGGTGTACATCAGCCAATGGAGGGATTACTCCAGCACATCAGTCAGCAACCCACAGAAAGCCAGGAAGAATCAAGCACCTTCAAAAAACCCGGGCTCCCTCCATAATAAGAGAGCCACAGGCCAGAAGCTTTGATAGTGTAGTAGGTATTTATTTGTGCAGTAATTTCAAATAAAACACACTTACAAAATTCAAAATGCAGGAACCATAGGGCAGCTATATAATAAGTCCAGACAGTTGGGGGGCCCCTCCCTATTTTTTATGGTCAATTTACTATCCGGTCTAAGTGCTCTAATCTGTGAGATGGATCTGGCAATAATTTTAACAGGTTGACGATCCAACAGAAGTACTGCAGTGTCCACTTGCCATTAGCTGACAAGGATAGGGAGGCTTGAACCTTAAGGAGGAGGTAATCTATGTATCCCACAACACGAATCCCTTGAGCTTGGAGAAGAGCGAAGGCCGGGGCAAGCACCTTGATGAAACCCTGAAGGCTGTGGATATGACAAAGGGAAGTGCAATTGATATTGCAGGTGCTGTGCTTGAAAACACAGATAGAGTTGATGGCGAGGAAATATTAGAATGTGCAAGAAGTCATCCAAAGCAAGAAGATCTCCTGGAAGGAGGGAGGCAATGACCAATCTAGCAGTTACCATGTGGAACATCTTAACCCATAGGAACAAACTAAGTGTCTTTAGATCAAGAATCGGTTGGATTATTCCATTTGCTTTGGGAAAAACAGAAAGGCTTGAGTAGAAGTCGTCTTGAAAGCATTCATCTTTTGGTACAGGGGTAAGAACTTCCTGAGACAGAAGCAACTCAATTGCCGCAAAGACAGCTGCCTGTCTTCTGTGGGCAGAGGGACAAAGTTTAAAACACCAGTTTGTAGCACAAGGAAATGACAATCTGGACCCAGGCATCTGAAAGTTCCTGGGTCAAAAGGCCAAGAGACATTTCCCCACTTTGACAGAGGTGCTCCATCACGGGGAAGAGAGGGCTTGAACAGAGCCTTAACTGGCTTGGAGAGTCACATCTTTCTACAAAAGAAAGCTCCTGTCTTGGATTTGAAATGGAGGTCTGAGAGGGAAAAAAAGAAACCTTTTCTAACTTGAGTAAGTGACCTAGCCTTTTTATTCTGGGGAAGAGAGTTCTCTTAGTCCCTCCTTGATATACTTAAGAAGGGCTCAGACATTCACCTTTAACTGCTTTAGTACTGCTGTATGTATATGTACCTATAATGAGAAGGAAATAAGTATTTGATCCCCTGCTGAATTTTGAATGCTTGCCTACTCACAAAGAAATTATCAGTCTAAAAATAAAATGGTAGGTGTATTGTAACACTGAGAGACAGAATAACAACAAAAAATTCACAAGAAATGCATGTCTAACAAATTATGCACTGATTTGCATGTTCATGAGGGAAATAGGTATTTGATCCAATTCACAAAACATGACTTAGTGCTTGGTGGCAAATCCCTTGTTGCAAAAAAAAGAGGTCAGACGTTTCCTGTAGTTGGCCACCAGGTTTGCACACATCTCAGGAGGGATTTTGGCCCACTCCTCTTGGCAGATCCTCTCCAAGTCATTAAGGTTTGGTGGATGACGTTTGGCAACTTGAACTTTCAGCTCTCTCCACAGATTTTCAATCGAGTTACGGTCTGGAGACTGGCTAGGCCACTCCAGGACCTTAATGTGCTTCTTCTTGAGCCACTCCTTTGTTGCCTTGGCCGTGTGTTTTGGGTCATTGTCATGCTGGAACACCCATCCACGACCCATTTTCAATGCCCTGGCTGAGGGAAGAAGGTTCTCACCCAAGATTTGACGGTATATTGCCCCTTCCATCGTCCCTTTGATGCATTGCAGTTGTCCTGTCCCCTTAGCAGAAAAACACCCCCAAAGCAGAATGTTTCCACCACCATGTTTGACAGTTGGGATGGTGCTCTTGGGGTCATAGGCAACATTCCTCCTCCTCCTTGATGCCAGAGAGCTCGATTTTGGTCTCATCTGACCACAACACTTTCAACCAGTCCTCCTCTGCCTCAATCACATGTTCAGTGGCAAACATCAGACGGGCCTGGACATGTGCTTTCTTGAGCAGACGGTACCAGCTGCCTGGAGATCGTTGACAAGATCCTCACGTGTAGTTCTGGAATGATTCCTCACTGTTCTCATGATCGTTGACACTCAACGAGGTGAGATCTTGCATGATGTACCAGACCTAGGGAGACAGTTGTTTTGTGTTTCTTCCATTTGCGAATGATTGCTCCAACTGTTGTCACCTTCTCACCAAGCTGCTTGGCGATAGTTTGGTAGCCCAGTCCAGCCTTGTGTAGGTCTACAATCTTTTCCCTGACATCCTTGGACAGCTCTTTGGTCTTTGCCATGGTGGAGAGTTTGGAATCTGATTGTTTGATTGCTCCTGTAGACAGGTGTCTTTTATACAGGTAACAAAATGAGATTAGCATGCCAACTGAAGCTCCGCAGAGGATGGGTGATGCAACAGGACAATGACCCAAAGCATACAAGTAATTCAAGAAAACAATGGCTGCAACAGCACAGAATACTCCTTCTGGAGTGGCCCAGTCAGAGTCCTGACCTCAACCCGATTGAAATGCTGTGGCATGACCTTAAGAGAGCGATTCACACCAGACATCCCAAGAATATTGCTACAATGAAACAGTCCAAAGGTTCACATACTTTTTCCTCCCTGCACTGTGAATGTTTACATGTTATGTGCAATTAAACCATGGCAGCATCTAATGTTTGTGTAGTATTATGTTCAGCAGACTGTGTTCTTCTATTGTTGTGACTTAGATGACGTTCAGAGCACATTTTATGCCCAATTCATGCAAAACTCCACGTAATCCCAAGGGGTTCACATACTTTTTCTTGCAACTGTACACTGCTTTAACAAACTAAATTGGAATATATATTGTGTATGTCTTCCATGAAGAAAGGTCAAGCCTAGAGCCTCCTACACATTTACTTGTTTTGATGCTGAATTTGCAATAAAGCAGTTGGACTCTGAATGTTTGGTGTGGCGGCGCTCCTTACTTCCCAACAATAAGGAATGTCAATCAGGGTTATTTTTCTTCAGGCTTCACACAAGGCTTTCACAAATCAGAAGCATTCAATTATGAACGTACTAACCCCATTATTCTGCCACTATCTTAGTGGCTGTCATTTCTGTATGTAAGCTTCCCATTCACAATACAGGAAATATTGGTTCATAGACTTGTTCTCAAGTGCGGAAACAGGATAGTTGAGAGAGGCACTCAATGGTGAATTAACATTCTCCACATTTAATCTGCCATGGCCATTGTGAAGAAGGAAAGTTAGGAACTACCCAAAGTGTGAAATAAATGGTTCAAGCTGGATCTCACACCTCTGAACAGACAGGCCACAGTCACCCCTCTCTTGATCTTTTTTAGCATTTTTGCAAACTCCAAGCAGGCTTTAATTTGTTTTTCACTGAGAGGCTTTCTGTCAAGCCACTCTGCCATATATCCCAGATCAGTGGAGGGCTACAGTGAGAGTTGTCCTTCTGGAACCTTGCCTCATCTTCACACAGGTCTCTGCAGCTCAGTCAGAGTGACCCTTCTCCCCGATTGCTCAGTTTGTCTGGGGGAGCAGCTCTTGGAAGAGTCCTGACTGTGCCAAACTTCTTCCATTTGAG